CATATTAGCCAACAGATGTAGTAGCCCTGCCCAGCGTGCTGTGTCCCCATCCCAGCTCTCACACTCACCAGTGGGGGCAATGTCATTGTAAGGGATTCCCCCACAGCCCCAATAGTAGGTGCACACCTCCTACCCCCTGCCTGGTTCACGTGTTCTGCTTCATGCTGCAGCCCAGTCTGGCATGGCCCACTAACCTCAGCATCAACAAGTGGGTGCTGTGGCCTGGCCAGGCCTGACCTCAGTTCCACTTCGTGCTAGTGGATCCTGAAGCCTGGCCAGGCGTGACCTCAGTTCCACTTCATGCTGGTGGATCCTGAAGCCTGGCCAGGCCTGACCTCAGTTCCACTTCATGCTGGTGGGTGCTGTGGCCCCGCCAGGCGTGACCTCAGTTCCACTTCTTGCTGGTGGGTGCTGTGCCCGGCCAGGCGTGAACTCAGTTCCACTTCATGCTGGTGGATGCTGAAGCCTATCCCAGCCCAGCCAGCTCCAAGTCCCAGCTCTAATGTAAACTGGTGGTATTATGGCCTGAAATGACCTGACCTGCACACCAACCTGGTTTCCAGATCTGCTATTGGGTGATTATGAACTGGTCCAGCCCCAGACCCTGACGCCTTTGTATGCCAGCAGGCACCCTAAGCTGTCTGGTCTGGCCTGCTCCGTGCCTTGGTTCTTGTGCTTGCCTGCAGGGACTGCATCCTGATGAAGGAGTTTCCCTAGCTCTTCTATCAGGTCTCCTCCCAGTGGCAGATCTTATGCACACCAGTGGATCTTTGACACATCCTGAAGTCCTTCATTAGCAGGTAGTTGAGAGAAAGGTCTTGCCAGAACTCTTATATTTTATTTATTATCTATCTATCTATCTATCTATCTATCTATCTATCTATCTATCTATCTATCTATATTTATTCTATATAGATGATGACTAAATGGTTAACCAGGGTAGGAAGGATATGGGTTAGGAAAAAGTGGGTGAAATGATAGTTTCCAAATTCTCTATTTCTTGCCTCTGGGAGAAGGGGAATGATTAAGGGGAAGCCACATCCAGCCTCCCAAATGTCCCAGGACATAGAGATGGGGAACTGCCGCCCCATATCAACACTAGGCCCCAGTAGGGTGCGTGTTCTGAGGTGTTTTTGGATTATTCTGAAATGCTATCAATTTCGTGGATCCAAAGGTGAGGGGAAAAATGCCCATTGGCTGACATAGTTGTCCTCCAATCTCTATTCATGCAGATTTTTGCTGTCATTGTTTGCTGGGGTAGTTGTCCAATTTGCCCTCTTTCCTTTGTGACAGCTGCCTTGTTCTCCACATACATCAGTGTCTGTATCCATTGCTCTACCTTTTTCACTCATTGGCAGGTTGAAGGGCCAGGGCCCCCACCCTGGGTGCTCACAAACCTGGAACCCATCTGTTCACTAGCAGGCCCCAGGATCCAGGCCATGCAACTGAGCCTCACCAGATACCCTGAAACTGGACCTCATGAACGAGGGACTCCTGACCCCAGTCTGACATGGCCCGCCTCACCTCAGCATTATTATCAGGTTGGGCAGCCTTGTTCTCTCTAGCTCCTGCTAGTGTGTGCTGCAGTCTAGCCCAGTTTATCCAGAACCTTGTCACATCTCCAGTGTAAGCTGCTTGTGTTGTGGCCTGACCTGGCCCCTCCTGCAACCTGTCCTTGTTCTTAAATCAGCCAGTGGATGTTATGAACTGGCCCAGCCTGGTCTGTGTCCACGATTGACCAAAATATATGTTGACCTGGTATGGTCAGGGCTATTTCTTGACTTGGTTCTTGTGCTCTCCTGCATGGTCTGCATCCCTACAAAGGAGTTTCTCAGGCTCTTCTACTGGGTCATGTCCCGGTGGCAGATCTCACACACACTAGTGGGTCCTTGGCCCAGGTTGGCTTTGTTCACACCTTGTCCTGGCAGGAAAAGTGTCTTTGCTCAACTAGCCGACGCCCATTCTGGTTCTTACTGTTTGGTTCCTGGTCCATGCCCAGTCACAGCTTTCACATGGTTCAGCGGGATTCAGGAACTAACCCAGACCATTCTATAACAAACCCAGCTCTCACGAGTGTCAGGGAGTGCTGGATTCTATCCCAGTTTGCAGCTCTGCAAACCCACCCAATCCATATACACATGCTGAGGGAGGATATGGCCATGTCCAGACCTGCCTGCTGCCCTCATTCTGGCTCTTTTGTTCACCATTGGGAACCCCAACCCAGCTGGGTTGTCACTTAGCTCCCTAGTTAGGCCCTTTCCCAGCCAAAATTCTTGGTCATGGCAGTGGAGATCGTAGTTCCACAGGACCACCCGAACTCTTAAGGAAACCGGTGTGATTTGCATTTTCACAGGGCTGGACCCACATATCCCTCACAAAATCTACCCCTGGACTTGGTTCTTGCATGCTGGTTAGTGTCATGGCATTGCCTAATGTGTTCCGTCACATTATCTGACAGTCAGGTTGTGGGACCTCACCCTGCCAGACAGGACCCTAGCCTAGCTTTCATGTGGGCCAGTGTATGGTGGTCAGCAGTGTTCCATGTTAAGAAGCTCAACTCAGGACTCCCATGTGGGCTGGTGCATTGGTTAGACCCATAGAGGTCTTCCACTTTCTCCCCTCCAAACCACCAGGTATGAGTCCCTCTCACTTACCTGCTAGTACAGTAGCCTTGTCATTGGGAGTCCCTCAGGAGTCATTTCTCACCTATATGTATGGTGGTCTTAGACACGGATGCCTCAAGACAGTAATTCATCTCCCCCAACCCCTCAGAGCTCATTGCCAGGTGGCCAGCAGGCTTCGCCAGAGACAAGATGGCTCCAGCCACCTTTAAGCTGTTAATGTTGTGAGTTCCTGGCTTGGTAGCTAGGTTGCCCGTCACCTCCCTCCACCAGCAAAAAGTGGCCAGTGGAATGGTGAGTTATTTTCAGGCACCCAGCCTGAGCCAAGATCTTGCCAGCCACCTTAAACAAGTGATGCTGTGAGTTCCTGACTCAGGAACTGGGCTTTGTCCCCTCCTCTATTAGCTAAAAGCAGCCAGAGGGGTGGAGAGTTCTGTTCATGTGTACAACCCAAGCCAAGATGGCGCCAGCTGCCTTTAATCAGACAACACTATGAGATCAGAACTTTTTAAATATTCACATGCATATAAACACAAACACATTTTAATATTTAAATGCACGTATTTGTTTATATATTCATGTATGTATGTATATATGTGTGTGTGTATTTAAAAGACAAGTTTACAGAGAGAATAAGAGACAGGTTGTTCATTCATTAGATTACTCCCCAAGTCGTTGCAATGGCTGTAGCTGGGCCAATTAGGCACCAGGTGCTTCCTTTGCATCTCCCATATGATAATTGAGCCATCTTCTGCTACTTTTTTAGTGCATGAACAAGGAGGTAAATCAGAAATGGAGCAGCTGGAACTAGAACCAACATCATATGTGATGCCTGCACTGGAGGTCAAGGACTATCCTGTTGAGCACCACACTGGCCCCGAGAAAGAATTCTTGAACCTGAAGTTCAGAGCATCAGGGTTTGTGAAGAGAAAAACTACACATTTTGAAGGTTTCATGGCTAGCTAAAGCTGGGCTAAATTTACAACTACCTTACAGATGGAAAATTATTAACTTAGTAACCTCTTAGGCTCAGCAGGTAAACTCTTGTTGCTCTAGTATTGGTTGAGCAACCTCCCCAGTGAGCTGAGATATTCTGCCAAACCAGATGTGATTTTCATATTCTAGCATGGCTATACTTCATGGGTATGGTTGTACCTGATCTACAATGGAGTCCCTAATTCAGGCATATTAGTTCACACTTTGAGTGATATTCTTGATGTTTCCACAGGTCATTTGACACAATTTTTTACTTTTGAGATCCATTTCAGGAAATTTATTCAATTTTTTAAAAGACCCCACTGTTTTAGGACACTTCCTTGAGCATAACTAATTATTTCCTTTTCCATAGGTTTATGATGCGGAGTTTCCTTATTTAATGGCAGTTATCCATTGATGACAATCAGAAATACTGCAGGTGTTAGAATGAATCCATTTTCAATCAATTTTAAAATATATAAATCATTTAGTATTAATAAAGTTTCTTAATATGAGCAAAACAGAGTGTCCAAATATCTGCAAAAACGTCAATAATAGAAACATCTTTGTGAAGTTGTCTTAAATGAAATTGAAATGTAATTCTTTGTTACCCACAAAGTAACCTAAAATATGCAGTTTTATATATGGTGTATTTTTTGCAATTATTTTATATATACCATATTGATTCGAAAGATAGATTGGAGAGAGCAGAGAGATGTCCCATCAGCTGGTTGATTCATTCTCAAGATGTCAGGGCTCTGTCATGCTTAGTCCAGCAACAAGTATTCTTCTAGGTTTGCCAGGTGGTTCTTAGAACCCACCCACTGTATTCTAGCTACAATAGCAGGGTACTGCATTGAAAGTGTTAAATAGGTTATAGACATAAACAAGTCATTTGGGTATCAGATGTGATCCTTCCCAAGCAGCAGCCCAACTGCCTATATCAGGATATTCATTTCTCCAAGTCTAATGATTTTCTCTGGCTGCTTCCATAATGTAGCTGTGTAATGAGGTAAAGTATAATCTTTTCAAATTATGCTGCTGTCATATTTATGGATGTCCTATGAGTGAAGGCAAATAAAGTGACTAAGTGTCATTGAGGGTTGAGGAAGTGGGAACTGTCATTGAAGTAAGAATCTTTCATTTGGAACAATTACTAGAAAGTTATATAGAATGAATATGTGTTATATCTGTTTTCCTATGGGACAAAATTACTGTGATTGAAAGATGCCTGCATTCCACAAGATTTTTGGCATAAAGAGCAAGAAGTGTTCTAATAGATGTCCTTATATGGAGTCTTACGTGGCTGATCTGTAGAAAAAGATAAATAATTAATACCACCAATTATTTTACTGTAGCATAAAATTTTAAAGATTTATTCACTTATTTTTATTGGAAAATTAGATAAACAGAGAGGAAGAGAGACAGAGAGGAAGAACTGTCCATTGATACACTCTCTAAGTGTCTTCAACGGCCAGAGCTAAGCCAATCTGAAGTCAGTAGCTTCTTCCAGGTCTCCCACAAGGCCTTGGGCCATCCTCAACTGCTGCCCCAGGCCACAAGCAGGGATCTGAATTAGAAGTATAGCCAAAGGGACACGAACCAGCATCTATATGTAACCCTGAACCATTCAAGATGAGTCCTTTAGACATTAGGCTACCATGCTTGACTCTTGTAATACAAATTTTAGTGACAATGTAATTGTTTTTTCTATGGTACTTTGAAATGTCAAATCTATTTGTGCTGAAAAGATAAGTTTAGTGTTTGGCAGTAATATTTTTAAAAAGTAGTAAATGTTCACATCAGCCTAATGATATCTTGAGTTTCATCATGGCCAATTATTAAAATTATTGATAACTATTTCAGGGAAGCCTTCCCAGCAATTGTAAAGCACTAATTTTGCCCAGGTTTTGCTTCTCCAGCTATTGGGTCTGGTTCCTGCCTTGACATTACTTAGCACAGTAGGAACTACAAAGGAGACTAGGGACAAGCAAGACCAATTCATAACACCCTCTCTGTACCTTCTCTTCCAGGGGTAGCCCTGAAGACCACTACATGCTTCCCAGGTTGGAGAACACAAACTCTCCTTCAGTAAGTTGTTTCTTCATTTCTCAGCTTGCTTTACCTTGTGTTTTAGGAGCTTTGTGATAGTTTTGAAACAAGGTAGTGCTGTCACAACTAAGACATTACAGCTGTCAAACTTGTTTGAAACTTTCCTTCCATGCTTTCTTATGCCATAATCAAGACATTTATTACATGATTCAAATGGAAACTACAAATATATTAATTATTGTGGGATACCAAGTTTGAGATGGTGTTTATTGATCTTATACATGATATATTGAAAATCATTTAGTACCCATTTAGTACTGAACATTCAGCAATAGCAAAAGTTATCAAATATTTAAAAATGAATATGTTTTCAACTTTGGGGTTTTTTTTTTTGGAATTTTTGAAATAGAGTGGTGCCTAGTAGCATTTGGAGACTTAATGAACTACTAAATGAATGTGTAAGGAATGGTATATGCTACATGTGCTTTTACATATTTATGTGAATCTTGTTTGTTTGTTTGTTTGCTTATTTTAAAGACTGACTTGCAGAAAGAGGAGAGAGACAGAGACAGTGATGCCTGCTACCTGCTGGTGATTCTCCCAGTGCTCACAATGGTCAGGGCTGGACCATGTCACAGATGAAGCAGGAGGTCCATCCGAGTCTCCCATATCAGTCTCCCACCCAAATACTTGAGCCATTTTTTCACTGTTGCCCATGAAGAAATGGATCGCAAGTGGGGCAGGTCATAGCTCAACTGGCCGTGCCACGATTCCATTTTGTGCTGCTGGGTGTTTTTCTTCTTTGTTTCTTTCTACCTTCTTGCTTTCTTTTTTCTTTCTTTCTTTTTTGAGATTTATTAATTTCAAAGGCAGATTCACTGAGAGACAAACAGTCAGAGAAATCTCCCATCTGCTAGTTCACTCCCCAAATAACCAGAATGACCAGAGATGAACCAATATAAAGCCATGAGCCAGGAATTTTGTTCAGTTCTCCAACTTGGTTACAGAAACCCAAATGCTTGAGCCATTCACCTCCACATCCTTACCAAGCCTGTTACCAGGGAGCCAGGTAAGAAGTGGAGCATTCAAGACATAAACCAATGCTCATGTGGGATGCCAGTGGCTTTTTCTGCTGAACCACAGGGCTGGCTGATATTGCATGGTTTCTGATTTTTATTTGAAAAGCAGAATTTCAGAGAAAGAGGGAGAGAGATCTCATGACTGTAAGTTTACTCTGCAAATGGGTGCAATGGCAAGAGCTAAGCCAATGAAAATCCTGGAGCAAGAATATTCTTTCAGGTCTCCAAAATTAGCACAGGTGCCCAAGGACTTGAGCGATCCTATGTTGCTTTCCCAGTACAAAAGCAGGAAACTGGGTTTGAAGTGGAGTATCCAGGTAACCAAATGGACCCATATGGGAAAATCAGCTCATCATACCACAGTTCAGTTCACAGATACTGACAAATTTAAAAGAAAGAGAGGCTTTTGGCTGGTGTTAGGAAGCAGAGCCTAGTATCCTAGGCCAGGAATAGTACCGTGCTTGCTTCTTAAATGTGGCTGGCAGTAGCTTGGCTCAGGCTGGGCATGTTATGGGATGTTCCACAACCTTGGCTGCTTTTGGATGGTAGGGGTTAGTGCACCCTAATATATTAGTCTGGGAATTTGTGCACCAGCTGCTTAAATGCGGCTGGTGGTATCTTGGCTGAGGGCACTCAAACGGGAACTTACACTGCACCAGCTGCTTTTGACTAGTGGAGTTGGGTTGGAGTGTAGCTCCTATACCAGGAACTCACAGTGTTGGCTGCTTAAAGATGGCTGCCACCATCTTGGCTTGGAGTGGGCCTGAACTGGCCACTTTTGGCTGTTGGAAGGGGTTAGAGGACAGCCTAGCTCCCTAGCTGGGAACTCATAGTGATGGCAGCTTAAATGTGGCTAGAGCCACTTTGGCTCAGATTAAGCCTGCTGGTCACCTGGCAGTGAGCTCTGGGTACGTGGGGGTGACAAATTACTGTCTAGAGACATCCATGGATAAGGCCACAATACATGTAGGTTAGGAATGACTCCAATGACAGGGATACTGCTCTGTCAGGTAAGTAAAGGGAATGAAATCTGATGGTCTGGAGGGGAAAGCCTGCAAGAACAGTGTAAGTCAGCCCACATGGGAGTCCTGAGTTGAGCTTCTTAACATGGAACATTGCTGACCACCACACTCCAGAACTCCAAAGCTTGACTGGAGGCCTTTCTTATGGGACTAGGTCACAGTACCTGACTGTCAGAACAGGGGATGTGTCATTAGGCAATTCTGTGTCACTAACGAGAGAACCATGTTTGTGGGTAGATTCTGTGGGGGATTACAGGGCCCAATCCTTTGGATATATAAGTCCCACTGGTTAGCTTAAGAGTTGGTATGGTGATGGGCTGAGCTAGGCATGACGATGGTACCTGCCATCTCTCATGGGTAATGGGGCTGAGAAAAGGCTGAGCATGTCCAGGCTGCAGCACTATCGTGCGCACCATAAAACAGGGTTTTTTGGGGGCGGGGTTGGGCCACAGCATCACCAACTCATAGAAAGACCTGGATGGAGAGCCAGGGTATTACAAGGTAAGGGCCTAGCACTCACTGGCATGCATGAGATCAGGGTATGGGAGTGTGGCAAGTGGAGGAATTTGGGAAAATTCCCTCTGTGGGTCATAGACTCTTCCACTGGTGAGCTTAGGGCAGTCCAGGCCTGGGATTTGGACAGGCTAGGCAAGGTAGCTCCATGCATTTGCAAGTGTGTGAGTTCACTTTGGAAAGTGACAGGGAGACCAGGAGTGCTGAGCAAATATTTGCTCACCACCAAGTGCAGAAACCAGGCTGGATTACAGGTCATGCTGTGCTAGGCTATCACATCGGCTGGTTTGAATGATTCAGAGATGGGAGCAGATAGACCAGGGTCAGGTTGGAGCACCCGACAGTGAGAATTAGGACTGGGGATAGGCTGGGTCAAGCCTCCTACAACATCCAAATGCAAACTGCAAATCAGGTGAGGGTCTTTGCCAATCTGGATCAGAGCAACCATTGGCATGCCCAAGATCTGAGCCTGGGAACATCCCTGGTTGGGGAACTAAGAGGATGCCCTGGCTGGGATGTAGTTCCCATTGGTGAGCAAGAGGGTCGGTGTGAGGGCTATAGTCTGGTTTGGACATGGCTGATGTGTCCCTTGGAATAGATGTGGAGTGGCACTAGGGTGAGCCAAATTGAGCTGCTGGTGCTCATGAGAACCAAGGTGGGTGTAGGAAAAGCTGGGCTCGGTCTCTCCCCCTGATGAGCCAAGAGTTACCTGTGTCTGGGTGTGGAGTAGGCCTGGCTGGGCTTTTGTACCAAAGAACAAGAACTGGAATTGGTGAGGGCTGGTCAGGAAAGGCCACTGTTTCTGTTAGAACAGGAGGTGGAATAAGTAGGGCTGGCATGAGTGTGCCACGTATTCTGGCATGGGGAGAGGTTCTGATGGAGGAGATTGAGAAACTCCTTTGTTAGGACACAGTCCATTGCAAATGAGCGCAAGAATCACGATAGGGAGCAGCCCAGACCAGGACAAGTATCAGTACCCAGTAGCATACATTTGACTTGGGTCAGGGAAGTGCAAGGCTGATCCAGTTTGCATCACCCACTGGCAAATCTGAGCACCAGAATGAAGTGTGTGTCATGTCAGGTCAGGCCACAATATCAGCCAGTTCACATTAGGACTGCTACTGGGAGTCGGCTGGGCTGGTCTAGCCTGTAATCTTCACCAGGGTGGGATGGAATTGGGAGGGGTCAGGCCAGATCAGGGTATAACACCCATTGGCAAATGTCAAGGTGAGTCAGGCCATGCCAGACTGGGTTGCAGTGCCCAACCTGCAAATGAGAGACCTGGCTGGTGGTAAGTGAAACCAGTAGGGTGTTGTGGGGGCCACCTGCTGGACCACTATCACTGGTGAGCATGAGTCCCGAGAGGGAGCAGACCAGGGCAGGCAAGGCTACAATACCTGTTATCCATGTGAGCTGGATTGGAGGAAAGCCAGGCAGGATTGACTGTTCTAATAATGTAGGAAAAGACAGGTTGGACTTTGCTGCAGCATCAGCAGGCAGATGCTACCACAGGGGACCAGTTCTGTCAAGCTAAACTGCATCAGATGGAGAGTATAAGATCCATGAGTGGGAATGGGTTCATTAATGAAAGAGTGGGCTCCTCCTTCTTGAGTTGCCACTCAGACTGGTGAGCATGAGAACTAGTACTAGGAGTACGCATGGCTAGACAGAGGCTAGCACCCACCAGCAACAATAGGGGCTGGATGGTGGGGCTGATTGGATTGAATTAGGCTTGAGTGCCCATTGACATGTATGAGAGAGAAGACAGGCCTGCAGCCAGATCTGACCCAGCAATTGAAACTACTAGCTTGTGCTTAGGCTGATTTGGCAGACAGACAAGAATCACATTTGGGATCATCTCAGATGATGGTTTTTTGGGATCTCCACAACTGAAACAGCTGAACTGCTGGACTCAGAACTCCTGCGTGGAGAGAAATGCAGTTCCATGGCCTGACTGTGGAGGACATGTGTCAGACCTGGGTCGTCTTAGAGATTTAGATGAAGCTATGGATAGCATCTCCCGGTGCAAGTAGAGAATATGTCTGTACATTGGAGCCTGCAGGGACACCTGGTACCATAACAGGATGGAGGACAGAACGTTTTGATCAACTACCCCAGCCAAGTGTTGGCAGTGAATATCTGGGAAAACAGAGTTTCTAAGGTGGAGTAAGTTAGCCAATGCATTCTGTAACGATTTCATCGTGCTTGGAGTGGTGAGATATGCAGCAATTCAGAATTGTTGAACTATCAAAATCTTGAGCAGAATCCTCAAAGCATGCCCCACACTGGGGACCTTGGGATGGCATTGGCTGGTTCTCCCCCATCCCAAGTACAGGAGCTGTTCAGAGGCTGGGTGTGTCTCCTCCCCTTACCTGCACCCTTTCCCCAGATAGAAGGAAAAAAGAGAATGTGGAAATAATGGTCT